TGCGGGAGAGGAGGCGGACGTGGCGACCATTGCCTCGGTCTCGGGTGCCGCTGATCGCGGGAGAGGAGAAACGTGCGGAAATTAGGGCTCCGCCCGAGCGGCTCTCGGTCGAAGCAGAGGAAAGTCGCGCATGGGTTAGGTGAATAGAGATTAGGTTATATACATATTATATAAGTATGAAAATATTTAATTTTTAAAGTAAAAATTTGATTTGCACATTTTAATTCGTGTGAAATCATTGCAAATTCGATGTTCAAGTAAAAATTTGATTTGCACATTTTAATTCGTGTGAAATCATTGCAAATTGGATGTTCCTTTTAGGTAATTTTGATGTTCCGGACGCATTGACGCGATCCATTTTGCCGCCGGAAGTCGTTCTGACGAATTCATCGATTTGCGTGCTAATTTTCTTGTGTCGAAAGTATGGCAATATGGGTGTCCTTTCCTACCAAAATTGGTATCCCGGACGCGTTGGCGCAGTCCATTTTGTCGTCGGAGGTCATCCGGAGATGTTCACATTTTCACCCGTCCCTTGGGCTTAATTGAAGTCCGATTTCGTGCAATTCTGTGAACTTTGTGCTTTTGATGTGTGTATGTGACGAAAAAGAGTCGTGACGATGTCTTCCTAAGGCTTGAAGTCCTATTTGGAACATTTCCCTTGAATCTTCGCAAAATAGCCCAAAACCGCTCGTTCATAAGACGATGGTCTTGTGCCAAAGATGCCAGACATCAAAGGAAAATAGGAATTGACTAGAATTTTCTAAAAAGGTGAGTCTCAATTCTAGTTTTCTAAGACGGTCAATAAGAACTCCTAGAACTAGATCCTAGGCTCTAAGGAGGAGAAGAGAAGACCTCACAAAAATGAGGTCAACAAATATTTGTGGAAAGAGATATTACTTTATTTGATGTTACTGAAGTTTGGCTGGGCACAACCCATAATGGATATTACAACAAATTGTCATGGAACACATGCCCTTATATTGTACCCACTGTAAGATGTTTGACTGTAAGATGTTTGGGGTAAGATGTTTGGGCATATCCTTGATAAATGCTACAAGCTCCATCCTAATTTGAAATCTAAGGTTCAAGTGAATAAAAATGGGTCTGACCCCACTCCTCTGGACATTTTAGTTCCACCTGGGGAGGATACTACCACAAACAATGGGTGTCTGTTGCCCCTGTGGACCCCCCAATGACACTACTGTTACTGTTACTGCGAGTGATGTGATGTTGACACCTTCAAACCCCATTAAAACCAATACTGATGGAATATTACCTACAAAGGATAGTGTCCAGATTGATAACCAGGAGAACCTCGCAGCTCTCTTTTTTCAGAAAGTATCCGGTGTAGAGACAACTCATACTTCACAAATACTAGAACCTATTGTGGTTACTACGCTTGGTAATCCTTCTGCTTTAGCTCTACCACCTCATCAGACTGATTTTTCGGATGAGGAATGACAGGTTTACACGTCCAAGAGGAAGAAGAAAAATGAAAATCTACTTGAGCTCAGGAGTCTTATGGATGATACTTCTGTTACTTCAGGTAATGGTACACACTTTACCAATCTGTTAGCTGGATCCCTTCCGAAAACGCACCTTACCAATCTGTTAGCTGAATCCCTTCCGAGAACTAGAGCCAGAGGCAGGACTAGATTGGGATGACCCTCACTTTTTCAGCTCCCTGGTGGTTTTGAGTTTTTTTTTATTTTTATATGTACCCCTTTATAACTTTTTTGTGTTGTACCGTGTGGTTTGGGTGCCTATTTTTAGGCCCACCCATACAACCTATATATATATAATTTGTGTCGCCTATCGTGACTCTTTGGTTGGAAGAGTTTGTAAGGCCTATGGGGTCACGAGTTCGATCTCGTTTATGTGCGGGATGAAATTCTTAGGTTCATGAGTTTTGTTGGGAGACTTGTATAATAGGCTCTAGCCAATCTTTTTTTTTTAAATATGTATATATATAATTTAATTATTTTGAGTCAAAACGAGCCGAACACGAACGAATAAATCTTTGTTTGTGTTCGGTTCATCTTCTTAGTGGATGAATCGAACACGAGCTGCTTAACGAGCCAAACATGAGCTGTTCGCAAACAAGAAGCCGTTTTGACAGCTCTAATAAAGACTCAACACTATTTTTTTTTAATGTCTAGCTGGTTTAAAAATTGCCTTCTGTCTAGAGGTTACAATTTTTATTATCAATGAAGCTTGACAATCTCGCCCATGCACTTAGGAATTTTGGAGGATTGCACTTAGCATTAGATCTCTTCTCTCAGTGTAGGTAAATTTCCTTTGGTTTTTTAGGAAAACACATGCCCGATCTCCTACTCTAATATCTTTTCTTTTGGTAGATTACTATAGCCCCCTTACATGATGGATGTCAAGTAGTCTTGCCTTCTTGTTGGTTAGACATCATTTTATAAGATAGTTGCCTCACTATTATACCCTGCAGTGGGGCCTTGCATGTTGGCTACCACTTGAGTTGATCTCTCTCTTGTGATTGGTAAATATTAGGACCCTTTATACTATGTACATGAACATGAACGAACATTTTTAATCAAAAGTATTGCTTAAGTATTGTATTCAAAATATAATTAATCATATGGGTTTCCACCTATGAAAATGTGGATTCCTCATAATCAAAATAAATCTTATTATACATCATTTCTTCTGTAAGGGATATCCTTGGTACATGTTCATTATAACTATTTTTTTCTTTCAAGTACATAGATTGGAAAATTTCTTATTTTTCAAAGTAGTACAGTCCTCTCCTTAAGAAGTACTCCAAAACCATATTTATTTACCAATCATCTTTTATTGATTCTCATAAAAGGCCTACAACCACTTTTAACTTCTGGGTTACTAAGATCCAACATCTCTCTCTTGTCCCATGAGGTGCTGTCCCTTTCCACAATACTCTAACCACTGCTTTAAGCTGCCTTCTACTATGAGGCAGTCTAATGTGAACCAGATTTGAGTTTGATCACTAATTCTGCTTCTTTTTTTAGTTACTGTTTTTGAAAACCTACGAAACCATTTTTGGCAGGGATTGGCTGTTTTTAGTTGAGCATTATGTTATATGTATTAGGTCCACCTTAAGCCTAGTAAAAGGAGCTGGTAAGATTGATTGATGTGTATTGTAGTTGCGGGGAGCAAAAAGTAATTGAATTAGTCTTAAAGCTGTTTAAGAAACAGGAGATATGTCGGCTAAGAAATTTTCATGGACCAACTCTTTCTTTCCAAGAAGGAAAGGGCTTTATTTCTCGGGACTTTTCGTTATTAATACTCAATCTGCATGATTTTGAACTGAAATTGAGTTCGAGTCATTGTTTCGAAATCACATTTAATTTCTGTAATTCAAAAATAAACTTAACCGAAAGTTCCAAAATTAAACTTAATCAAAAGTGCTTTCTATTCCTGATGGTGACATGTAACATGAGGCAGTTACTATGTACTGGAATGTCTGTGAAGCTATGCGTAAAATATTTCTTCTTATTTCTGCATCAATTTGTAGGATTTTTCTTGTAACGAATTGCAAGGACAAGTCTTACATTTGAATTTATTGCTTTGTTTCTTTTGCAGTTAAACTCTGCATACATTTCTAGGAAAGTGGTGCCACCTAATTGCACAATGTAATTGCATTTCTTTACATGTTTTTAGTTAAGAAAGTATGATTTCTTAATTTGAATGTCAGAGGAAATCCTTCTTAATTTTTTTCAACAGTTCAGAATATTGATGAGTATTATTTTTTTGAGGCATATACTTCTACTTATCTCTACAAATAGAAGCTAAACGAACTCAACGTTCTTAAGTGCAGTCAGCATCTTACGCTGCCTAATATGTAAAAGTTTGCAAAGAAGTTTCAACACTGACATGTTTATTAGTATATTTCAGAAGAGACTTGGCATTTTTAGATGTAGTAGGTTCTGCATACTCGGATGACCGAGATCTGTAGTAGAAAGCATCATGAACAAAAATGATTTAAGCACCTATTTTTATGTAGTGTAAATGTATGATTTTATTTGGTGAATTTTCCTATATATTTTGTATTTAGAACATCCTGTGGTCACTGCATAGAAGATCACCTCTTTTTTCCCTTTTTGCATTAGCATTGGTAATTGGTTAGCTATTCATTTTTACTTGTTTTGAGTTTGTTTCACTATGATTATCAGGAACAAGGGGTTAATATGGGAATCAAGAATTGACCAAAATTCCTGCAATTGGGATCGAAGTTTAAGTTATTCAGTGGCTCAAAATAAAAAACTCATGAATAACAACCCCAATAAGTTGCTTAATACAAATTTAAAAAAAAAAATCCAAAGAAAACTAGTTTCCGCCCAAATGAAATAGGTGTTAGGCTATAAAAGTTTGACAAAACAGTACCCGGAAAAAGATCTGATCAGATATTGGCTATATTACATCCAGAGGCATTATTTTGACTGAATTAATGATTTTGAGCAGCACTCGTTCCCCCTACGGCCATCAATAATATTGTGTGCATTTTTATGAAATGTTTTGGAATCTAATTTCTTAAGCCGTTTCTTTAGAGTTTTGCTCTAGATGATTCTCTTAGTACTTACGGATATTCTGAGAAGCACTGCATGGCGGATTCTGTTGTGCCAGGTAAAAGTCTGTTTGCTTCACTAATTAGTACTCTATTTGATCTTCAGGTTTGTAGGTATTGTCAACAACAACCAGAAAAATCAACATGTTCTGTTTGTGGAACTTCTGAAAACCTGTGGATATGTGTCATCTGTGGTTCTGTTGGCTGTGGAAGGTAAAATATTGTGGATGGAATATAAAAATCTTGTGGATGGATTATAAACTATTTGCTTGAGCCCAAAGGCTGTCATTGATTGAACTAGTTATACAATAACTTCGCCATCCTTTCCCTCTAGAATAGTAAACTCCAAGGTTGATTAAACTGTCTTCATCTCTCTATAACCATAGAATGTACAATGAGAGAATTGAAAGCGCATCTAGGGAACATAGGTGGCATATTTCCAAGTTCACACTCCTGTCTGTAAACATATTGTCTTTTCCCTCTAGACAAAGCTTAAAAAATGAGTTGAAGAAAAGCTTGTATTGCTTAAAACATAGCCTTCGAGTCAAAAAATGCTTTTATGGCTTAAATGCAGCCTATCAAAAATGTGTCTATTATCTTTTGTTTTTTGTATAGATACGAGGATGGACATGCAATCCGACATTGGAAAGAGACACAACATTGCTTCTCGCTTGAACTGGAAACTCAAAGAGTATGGGATTATGTTGGGGACAATTATGTCCACCGCCTAATTCAGTCAAAAACTGATGGAAAGCTGGTTGAGCTGAACCTTCATGGTGCACATGCTGATGACAACTGTGGAAGTTGTAATTGTGGGGATTCAGGAATTGATGAGGCCCTTTTCAACAGTAAATTTGAAACTGTAAATTTGATTAGTTCAATTTCTTTATTTATTTGATTTTACATTTTCCTGGGCTGCTTTAGACTATAGTGATATGTAAAATCCTGCTCTCTCTTACAGATTGTGATGGAATACAATGATCTTCTGGCATCACAGCTTGAAAATCAAAGGAAAGTATGTACTTTTCTTTCAAAAAGATGTGAAGTGATGTGCTGAACATCATTGATTTACTATTTTATTTTACTTCTAATATCAACTTATTTTTTTTTCCTTGTGCTAGTAGCTTAGTAACCAGCACGGAGATATCCACTATTCATGGGTTATTAATGTTCTCAACTTTGAAATTTACCCTTTAATTTCTATTGCAGTATTTTGAATCACTGCTTCAAGAAGCAAAGGAAGAAAATGAGAGAGAAATTTCTAAAGCAATTCAGAAGGCAGTAAATTTTAGGCTGCAAAAGCTTTACACCAAGTTAAATAAGGCCATCGAAGGAAAAAAATTTCTCGAGGATGTAAGCTTCAGAATCAACCTGTCAAAAATCTCTTATTATTATGTAATTATGCTTCAATAGAATATATGACTTTAAGGGATAGTCAGCCACAAGTTGGTGGTGAAAATTAGTCTAAATTTGGACGGATAGAGGTGGCACACAGCATTTCAATATTTTTTTAGTAAAATTTAGATAATTGTTAACTAAATTTAAACTTAATTTAGGTTTAATATTTTGAATATGGATTTTAAATGGGATGGATAGAAAATTGAACTCAATGAATGGTAGAATTAATATACATGTTTACAGTGAACTTTGACTTTATTTGGTAATGTTGTGCTGTTGCTGTTTTGTGTTTAGCAAAATAAAAGCTATCATTACTATCACTTATAAATGTATCTGTAAGGTACATGTGCAACCTAAAACATTCTATGGAGCGTCTTCTATGCAAATCTAATCAAGCTTTTGAAAAGAAAGAAACAAAAAGAAAAAAAGCGAAAGTGGAAAGAGAACATGTTAGTGATAATGAGGAATGTTATAAACTATTCTCTGTTAGCGATGGTGGAATTATAGTTATGTATAAAGAACTGAAGTTTGAAATGTTAAATTGAAAGTGATAATATGGTTGTTAACAAGTTAATTAATATTGGAGAGATTATAAATATAGGTAATACTTATGCTCTTAAAGTGTATTAGTGGATGTTTGAAGTATCTATTTTTCTAAATGATTATTGGGCTATTATGTATTCCGAGTAAAGGACTTTCATTTGTGGCTGGTTGAAATGAGAGGTGAACATCAAAGGATTTTTTGTTAAATGACACGAATTAGAAATGAGAAGTTTGATCAAACCTAATATGGGACAAAATGGCTACGTCTGATGAGAAGATTTATTTCTTAGCAAGAGATCTTTTGCCAGTAGGGACAATAGGTGGAGTAAGGTATAAGAAATTATTGAAGGTAATAAATGTAATTTTATGCAATGTGAGAAGTGTTTTTGAAGCATTTAGATGTAAAGATGCTGGAAGACTTTAAAAGAGGTGATGATTAGTAAATTTAGTGCAATAATCTGTGATGAATTATATGCTAGGTTGGGCAGTGTGAACAGAGAAATGAGATTTATATAGGTGCTAATTCGAAAGAAATGGGTTTTAGAGGTTTTCATTAAATTTGGTGTATTAAGAGTAAAAGATAATAGGATTTTTTTAGAGATTAATTTTAAAATTGATGAAATTTTTTACTAAATTATTGAATTTTCTATCAAGTGAAATTTGATTCCGATCAGTATGGTAAGAAAATACTTTTATGAGATGAATTCTGTTAAAATATGTATGGAGTAATGTCTAGAGTTGTTGTAGTTGCATAGTGACTAAAAACTTTCTAATCATTCTATGATTTCTTCTAGGTCCACCTTTTTAGGTTTATAGTTATGCTAGTGCGTATATTTGGTATTCGTAGTCAACTTTTGTGTATGATATTATACACGACATTATATTGATAGATGAGGTTTTCTTCAAAGTGAAAAAAACCTTTGAGATAATGAGCTTAGGGTGCCTAGAATAAAAATTACGTACATTGTCTAGTATTTTTTTGCTTGTGGGTTGATATTGTTCAATCAATGATGTGGATGATCATTTAATAGCTTGGTACGATAGATGCAAATATTTTATTACAAAATATTAGGAATATAAAGCAGGGTACATATTTTTTTAAAACAATATTAAGAATATAAAGGTTTGTTTTAAGTTGAGAATTATGTGATTTAAAAAATTAGGAAGTCCTAAAGATAAATTTAATAGAATATCACTAAGGCCAATCACGGTGTTGGAAATAGAATCATAACTAATTTATACAAAACCCATAATATTTAAGTTTCCCTATTCTAAAACTAGGGAATACAAGAGTGACTATCTAATATGGTACGAATTAGAATCAAGGAAGTTTGAATTTTTAGAAATATACTTAGGTGTTTTGAATATGTGCAAAAAGAGCATATGATGTACTAATAATGTTGGATGGACCAATAATAACTTGTGCAAGCTAAAATAAGCACCACACACAATAACTAATATAAGTGACTTTAAGAGGATTCCCAAAGCCAACAATAAACAGTTGGATAAGACGATGTGAGATATAGTGCTTGGTTATTTAATTGCTTTACTTTGGATGTGACATGGCGTTGAATGACTTGGATGTAATGTCTTTTTTGCAGATTAATGAGAATCTTTTGAAAAATCAAGAAACATGGAAGGCAAAAATTCAGCATATTGAGGAAAGGTACTTAAATCACTTCAATCTCCATGTAAAGCCAAATCAGTTTAGAACACCAGAAAGTGCGATTAATATAGGATATTCTTGAACTCTCTTGTAAAACATGATGATTATAGTGTTATGTTCCTTATAATGCATGTGTCACTTTAATGCGGTTTTTGTTTTGCTTGCTAAATTAAATTTTTTATTTTCCTTGCTCTCATCTTTTAATTTCCATAGATATTTTTTTTGTGTGGTGTTTGTTAAACGGCTGACCATGTTGAACATATTCTTCTCATTATATATCTATCTATATATATACACCTTTTAGCCATATTCCAAGTTCCCAACTATGGGGATTCCCAATCTCTCTACCTATATAGATACATACATGTCGGAGCACTCGTACACCTGATAATTTGAATTGTCTACAATCAAACTTTGAGGACTACATCTTGTTTGAAATTATTTTGAAAATTTTTATGAGCTAAGAGTCAGACTTTGAGACGGTTTAAAATGGCCTTTGTCAATAGAAATCAATTCAAACTTGGACAAATTTTATTCATCAACTAATATCGGCACCCGTAAAATTTAGGAATTAGCATAACAGCTTGAATGATTAAACATGTAGGTAGATTTTACACAGACTAGCGTATTGATCGGAAATTTCTAAGGCATTAACTTCCATCCCCACTGGCATTGTCACGACTCAGCCCGAGACTTGGAGTTAACCAAGACAGGAATGGATAGTTGGACGGAGAGATAAGCTCTGGTCTACTCGGCCCTGATCGATATTATCTTGTCGGCACAGTAGATATGTGACGTAACCATCAAAATTATATGGGGTGGTAGAAAACTCTACGTGTGCGGGTACACTAGCGTCTCTTTACTGTACCATTAGAGGGTGAACTCCTCTGAACATGCACATATAAGCATTCATCTATAAGTTATTTTATTATTCATAGTATACATTATATTGAGACATAATTATGAATCTACTGACATGCATACTTGCTCTTACTCTGCTGCGCACTTATCATTCTGCATCTCTTATATCATTCATATCTCAATCTTATGTATATCTCTTACTTATATCATGCATATCGTTTTTATTGTGTTTATCATGTGCATTTTTTAAATGTCGACCATCTGATGATGCGATCAGCAAAGTAGATGTTTTAGATTCGACTTATGTTAAGAGAGGCAGAGGTAGTCCTAGGAAGACTTGGGCATATTGTATAAAAAAATGATATTAACTTAATAGAATTAAATGAAAATATAACACTAAATAGAATGCAATGAAGAAATAGGATTCATGTAGTCGACCCCATGTAGTGGGATAAAGGTTTTGTCATTGTTGTTGTTTGTTGTTGTATCATGCATATCTTTTTTATCATGTCTATCTTGCACATCATGTATATCATACATATCATTCATCTCATACTTATCTTTCATGCATATTTAGCATTTCTAAAGAAATATGAACAATCTAACTAAACTATAGCATATATATAGTCAAACATATATTTTGAAATAAAAGAAGATTATTGAAATTTAAAAAATGTAAATACTCACCTCGGTTGTTACGCAAAAATTTTAATCTTCGATAGCTAGCTAGAGGTTGCGGTGAATTTTACGTTAAGCTTAATAAATTATAAAACATAATATTAAACTTTAAGATTTAAGTGATTTCCGTAAATTGACCTATTCTTCTTAAATTAACATATGATTATGTTACCTGAAATTTATAGAGCTATTCTACGACAATCTTTTATACTCGTCTCGAATTTGTCGTCTCAGGTAAACTTGGAATCTATAAATATCTTAGAATTTATAACTTTTCGGTTCATAAAGTGATTTAACCCAAAAAGTAATTTTCTTACCTCAAATAGGCTTCTCGGCTCAAGTCTGCCTTTTTGAGGCTGCCAAATATTCTTCCCTCTTTTTCCTATTTTCTCAATCTTCTCTTCCCTTCGCTGATATCGTCAAATCCTGGCGAAAGCTTGTAAACTGCTTACAACACTTCGACGCCTTTGACGACTATCGAAAACGAACAATACAAGAAAAACAAGGCAGGGCAAGAGAAAGGAAATGAACTTCTCAAATATTGTTAAAATCAGTTTCATACCTTAAGATTTCACCCCCGGAGTCAAAATCGCGAGTTGTGACTCTCCAGCTTGCCGCTCGCCTCTTTCTATTCGTTGCTGCTACGGTGGCCCGAGCATAAGCCTTGCGGGAACTCGCAGGATCCTGCCTACCAAGTGAAAATGAGAAAGGGAGGGAGGGACATTCGACGGAACCAGATGCGGGAAGAGGGAAATCGGGAGGGAAGAAATTTTGAAGTCTCTGGATGGACCCCTCGACGCATTAATCAAATGATAAGTTGGTTGGGTACAGTAACCGAAACTAGGGAAGGGTTAATTAAGATTCAATTAATTTAATTAAATTTATAACTTGTGATTTTTATATCTTTCAATCTATTTATAATTTATATATAGTGTTTTATATTGAATTGATCGATTTGATGCATAAAATTTTATAAAATTAACTTTGTTGAAGTTTGAGGTGTGCTAAAATTGAGGTACATTTAGGTTGCAAAAAATTTCTATCTGATTTCTCAAAATGGGTTATTACAGGCATGGCACGGTATCAATAGCAGACACATCCACAAATTGATTGCATTTTAATGCTTCACAAAGAAATAGTGTTGCATAGCTGCTGTAGATGTGGGGAACTGTAGTGGAACACGCACTGTTTTTTTTTTTCTCATTTGCTAGTGAAAGACTTCCCTAGCAAGATATTTATTTTCTGCTATTTAATCTAGCGGTGAAAAAAATGCTCTTGTGGGTGTGTGTGTGTGTGTGTGTGTGTGTGTGTGTGTGTATATATATATATATATATAATCATACATGGATATCTTGATTAGTGAAGTAAAAGTATACAATGCTGGAATTAGAAAGATATTCATAGAAGCATGCAGTTTCGGCGCCATGTGCTATTATTTCTTTTATTTTTCATAACTTACCAATAAATTGACTTTCAGGGAGAAAGCAGGTGTTAGACTGAAGGACGAGAAGATACGAAATTTGGAGGAACAGGTAATCCGGCCTAAATCTTCCCATCCTAAAACCAAACTTATATGCATTCTCTTAACCGAATTTCTTTGCTCCGTGACTAAATTAAAGCTAATGTAAATCGAACAAAATGCATGTAATATTATTTATTTTCATTTGTAGCTTTATCTCTTTTATTGCCAACTTTTCTTTCAGAAAAAAAAACATAGCGGTATCTAGCTTCATGGCATTGAAAAAAATGCTAGTTTGGAAGTAAAATAATAAAACATGGGATACAACTTAAGATGCCGTATATTCTACTAAATTTTAGAGAGATTTCGGTTATATTTCACATAAAAATTCAAGCTCACCACTCTGCACATGGATCCTTCTATATCTCTCCTTGCTACCTGTATTTTTTTATCCTCATGTTGGTTGATTAAATAAAGTTAATAGTTGCAAATATATTATGGAATTGGAGACTAACAGTCGCACTGTATGGCTATGTTTATATGATATAAGACTGGTTTAGAACCTGTAGATGTTGCAAAATAACAGAGGATGCAAATTTTTAGATGTCTTATTTTCTCCTCATCTGGAGATATTCATGAATTATGTGAGCATAGAAATCCTTCTATATCTGTCTTTACTACCTATATTATTTGATCCTTAGGTTGGTTGATAAAATATAGTTAATAGTTGCAAATATATGTTCGAATTGGAGACTAACAGTCTAACACTGTATGGCAATGCAACATAGAGACATTTTTATGATATAAGATTTTGTTGGATGTATTAGTCTCTTTGGCAGTGTTTAAAACCCGTTGATGTTGCAAAACAACAGAAGGCGCAATTTGTTAGATTTCTTATTTTCTCCTCATCTGGAGATATTTAAGGAAAATGTGGACATATAAATATGCATCTTCCTCCGTCTCTCTAACCCAACCGTTCCTTTTTACTCTCAATTAGGAAAATCAGTGGAATCTGTATTGTTTCTGAATGGCATTGGATGTTAGTCTTCTAATTTTTTGATGAATGAAGAGAGAAACTTGTTCCTTTTATGGGGCAATTGCATACAGGCCACTTGAAACTTGTTGTTTGCAAATCAACCATCCTTTTTCATCCATTTTTGAAATTCTCACTTAAGTATCAAAATTCACGGTAAAACTCCAACCCAAATTTTCATTTTTATTAAATTTTCGATATTTTGATCGTGACACTTGTAAATACATCGGTTCAGTAGTTCAAAAAAATCATCAAAGTGGTTGATTTGTAAATATCAATGTTTCAGGTGGTCTTAATGTAATTATCCCTTCTTTTTTTATGCCTAGATACACATAAATATCTACTTGTTGTGCGCTCACTGATGAAATTGATGTCCTTCAAATGAATTCCCCACTCTTGATACCCATTCCTTTCTCTCTCCATTCCTAGAAATATTTCTGAGAAAAAAAGTTGAAAAGTATAGAAAATTGTGAGAAAAAGACATCCAAGTTTGTTTGGTGATGGAATAAAAAATTGAAGTTAACAAGTATATTCTGTTAGAACATGGAGTGCCACAATATATTTGATTGTTCTCCCGCCAAAATCTGCTTATGGATAGTGCTTAAAAGATTTTGATGAGTTTCACCTCCCTTCGGATGCCAAAAGTTTTTGGATGTTATCAAATTTAGTTTGAATCAATTCAGTACCAAACTATACGAAGTGCAGCAGAAAGCATGAATGAATGGAGTTTGTGGAGTAAATCATTGGTTAACTTAATGATAAGTATAATGATGATGATCAACCAATAAAATTGCCTTTGAAGTACTCACTTTTTCTTCATCAAATATCTTCATATGCAGCATAAATGATCACATGAGATTCATTAGTTTTTGCGGGAGAATAACATTCATATATAATATGCTTTAATTTTAAAAATATAAACAATTATTCAAGTCATTCACTTTAACATCATCACAATTTCACGCAATATCTCTGTAGGACTCTTTGTTGCCTGATTCAATAGCTTCTCATTTCTTTGGCAGCTTCAACATTTAATAAGTTCCATTGAAGCTCAAAATGCAGCGGATGATCATCTCCCTCCCTCTGCCTCAAATGATGTCACAGATGCAAAACTAACTCTACCCTCTTCAAAAGAAATGAGTACCTGTTCTGCGAATGGTCGCCGTAGGAGAAACTAAGCCATAATGCTTTGTCACAAACCAGCATCCTGCCACTTTCGGTGCTCTGTTAGCTGATGAACTTGGAAATCTCCTTAACAGTCGACTCCAATCCAGATTTCAATGCTCCAGCAACAGGACTTGGTTTATGGAAGCCAGTTTCTTAGTTGACGATACGCATGTTTCATTTGTTGCCAATATATTAATAGGGGTTGGAAGCTGAAATCAATGTTGTGACACAAGGATGGAAATTAAGTTTATTATTTTGATGTGTATGTAAGGTTTTCCTGTCCTCCTAGCTTTTTGCCATCCATAGTTTATTATTTTGATGTGTATGTAAGGTTTTCCTGACCTCCTAGCTTTTTGTCATCCATGTAACAACACACTATTATGTGGCTAACAACTTGAACTAAATTATAATATTGTAGTTTTTTATCTTGTTGATTGGATACCAAATAAAGTGAAATAAAAGGTTTGTATGAGGCAGTGTTGGAAGGACAAAACTGAAAAAAAGGATTTCTGAAGAAGGGTTTGTATTTTTTTTTTTTTAAATATAGTACATGTAACCGTACAACCGCAGTTATTAATTTGCTTGGATTTTTTATTGTGAGCTCACGAGGGTTGTTATTATTTTAATACATGGTGGCAGTAATGGACCGAGTAGCCTCCTCGCTGGGTCCGTTTTTTATTTTATTTATTAAATTCGAAATAGGTGTTTCATTTCTTTTGATATAATTTTTTTTATTAAATATTTTATAAAGTAATTTATGGGCATTAGTGGGTGTTAGGTGGCTGAGGCAACAGCGTCTATGGTGGAAAATTTATTACGTTCGGTCTCCAGACGTAGGGATATGTTCGAAGTCTAATGAATTACCTCTACGTGGGGCGGGCTGGCAGAAAAAAAAAATTCTAAATTATAATATTGTAGTTTTTTATCTTGTTGATTGGATACCAAATAAAGTGAAATAAAAGGTTTGTATGAGGCAGTGTTGGAAGGACAAAACTGACAAAAAGGATTTCTGAAGAAGGGTTTGTATTTTTTTAAAAAAAATATAGTACATGTAACCGTACAACCGCAGTTATTAATTTGCTTGGATTTTTTATTGTGAGCTCACGAGGGTTGTTGTTATTTTAATACATGGTGGCAGTAATGGACCGAGTAGCCTCCTCGCTGGGTCCGTTTTTTATTTTATTTATTAAATTCGAAATAGGTGTTTCATTTCTTTTGATATAATTTTTTTTATTAAATATTTTATAAAGTAATTTATGGGCATTAGTGGGTGTTAGGTGGCTGAGGCAACAACGTCTGTGGTGGAAAATTTATTACGTTCGGTTTCCAGACGTAGAGATATGTTCGAAGTCCAATGAATTATCTCTACGTGGGGCGGGCTGGCAGAAAAAAAAAATTTAAAAAAAAAAAAATCATTTTCTTGTGATCCGACACGATAACACAAGAAAATATTCCTCCCGTTATTTCTTGTTATTCAGGTGTTATTGTGGTGATATTGATGTATTATTGTGTTATTATAACATTGAGAATATTCTCAGAATACAATAATATATGAATACTACCCCAATAACACATAAATAACACATGAAGAATATTCTCCTGTGCTAAAATGATTTTTATTTTATTTTTTTTGTCACATCAAAGTGACGTGATTTTATTGCACTCTGAACGTATATCTAAGTACGGAGTCGGACGTAATATTTGTTCTCTATAGTGATTGCGGGGGTTGAGTGGCAATAATAGATTAATTTGAGTGGATATTATAGAATTTGTAAGTGTGGATTGGTGTGTGTGCAATTTGAAGAATAATTTAAATATTTATAATTATTTGTAAATGTTTCTAATTAGTTTTTAGAAATTTAAAATATTTTGATTTATTTTTAATAATAAAATAAAAATATTTACACAACATTGGGAAATATAGTTTTAAAGTCAAATAAACATATATAAAAAAAGTGTACTTAGGGATTCAATTTTGGGAGTTAATAACAAAAAAATTGAACTAATGTTACAGTGCCAATTCAGTGAGGTTTATGGATATTTTCAGGTCAACCTTAGTTCAAACTTTTTATTGTAATTTGGTACGTTGATATTGTTTGTTCGTTCCAACGGATTTATTTAGCCTCCCTCTTTGAAGATGGAGATATAAGGGCACATATTAAGTTCAAATTGTGGAAATTGAGTGTAGAAGAGTCGAGTCATATATGCTTTTTTAATAAAGCTCGTAGGGAATTTTATTCCATCCAAAAAAACTTACAACAAAAGTTAAGAGGAACCCACTACATACCCCCAATAACTCACACGAAAAAGAAAACCTAAGATTCCTCTCCTTGAAAAGAAAGAAAATACAACACACCCCACCAAAGAAAACAAAAACCAAAAACCAAATACAAAGATTACAATAAGTCCAACTGAATAAGTTGATAAAGGTCCCAAGGGTATTGTTTAGAAATGATAACATAATTAAGAAGACTCCCCAATTTTGCTGCCCAAATGAGCAACTTATTGCTTTCTCTTTTAGTATGGGTCCAGTTGATGCACAATTTTTTTGACAACTCTGCAATTTTTTTCATCTGAATATTGATAATCCAATGATGAACTTTCAAGCCCTGTAATAATTGCAAAGTAATAAAATAGATTTCTTAGATAATGTAATTCCAGCCATACTTTCAAGTAAACAAAAGCCCAAAAACCACATCATAAGCTTCAACTACTAGGGGAGAGATTGACACAACAAAAACACTAAACCAACAGCTGGCCAGTTCTAAAAAGCCCTGCACACTCACACAACAAAAACACTAAACCAACAGCTGGCCAGTTTTAAAAAGCCCTGCACACTCCAACTCTTGCTTTATTAACTTTCCAGCTGCCATCAACAGTAATTTTAATAAAAGGGCAGCAGGTTTCAATCAAGCCACAACTGAATTTGAATTAACAGTAGAAATGTCCAAAATATTCAAATTACGGAAGACTTCTTTAAGTCTTTCATTAATTCTGTACTTATAATCATTACAAGGTTGTTAACCAAGTAACTGACAGTCATACTAATTTTTTATTGACATTTGGTACATCATCCTTAAATTTAGTATTATTATGAGTAAGATAAATGAATCAAAAAATAACATAAGGTATATTAGGGAAAAAAGAATGACCAAGAGTTCCCCAATCCTTAAAGATGTCATCAAACTCCTTATAGCTACCCACAATCCAACTTCTCTGAAAGAAGACAAAAATTTTGCTCCAAATCTTCTCAACAAACCTGCAACTAATAAACAAATGATTAATAGATTCTTCCTCTTCCTTACAAAGTAAATAACAAAAAGGTATCTTAAATCCTTTCAATTTTAAGATATCATATATAGGAAGGATTTTATGAAAAATCCTCTAAATGAAAAAAGAGAGAGAAGGTTTCACCTAAGGGTTCCAAATCTATTTGAGATCCATACCCTAAAAAGTTTGAAAAGAGTAAGCAAGGGATTTAGCAATTGTGTCCCTAATTTTAAGTATAATTTTGGGAATATCATTAATCCCTTTACTGATAGGTATTTTAGAAATAAATTTAGCATCATCAATCATAAATATTTGCCCCAATTCACCGTAATTCCTAGTATTATTCATCCACAAATCTTTAACTTTAATATTAACATCCTGTGGACCACCATAGCAGTCCACAAAAGCACCATTTCCTAACCAATCATCACACCAAAAGGAAATATTCTCACTTCCAATGTCCCAATTGAAAAGCCTTTTAGTATCCTTAGAGAAATGTAGCATCCCATTCTAGATATAAGAGTCGAAATTGGCATAACTAACAGCAATGGGATTAGTATTATTACAATATTTAGCACCTTGCTGATATTTTCCTATTTTTTGCAGAAAAATGTCAGGTCCGATGCTGATCTTTATTTTTAAAGAAGGCTTATATCTCGCACTTGATAAAGAGAAGATAGCACAGGTCAGCGTTCTGAATTTTGACTTGGATTACAGTCAAGTCAATGTAGATTATGAAGGCCCCCTGATGAGTATAGTCAGTTACCGAGAGGTAGAAGCCGAGAGGTAGAAGAGCTACAACCACTATTGAGAATCAGTGTCAGGGAAGACTCTTCACTGAAGAGGAAGAAAGCTGAGGGAGTACAATACCCGATGAAGGGAACTATCCAATTGCAGTCAATGATCACCATGCCTACGGAAGACTTGGTCGGTGCCAATGAAAAAGGGTTTCGGATGTGCCTTTAAAGAGGACGCAAAGCATAATTGCCAACCGTCACAAGCACAGAGCCTTGGAACGACTGGAAAACGTATGTGCCAACTAGGCAGCTGCGATGCTTACTTAGATTCATGATGAAAAAAATCTATGATTTGAACTTAAAAGAGACTTCCACTAGTCCGTTGTTTACAGAAGACGAGCCAGAGATGTTTACAGAGCTTGCATCTTTAGGGATCCCCGATGAGTTTTGTGCGAGGTGCCCCATGTGTAATGTAGAAAACCCAAGGAGGACACCGTTAACGGAAGCCTTCACAGAATGCCCTGAGTGTAACATCCTCCACCTGGAGAGGTATGGGACGCTTGAAGAATATTCAATTGCCAGTATGAAGTTCAGAAATGTAGACCACCCAGAGGTTGAGCCATACATACTGATACACAATACTGATACACAAAAATAATATTAATTTTTATGTCTATTTTTGGTGATATTGCACTTTAAAGAAAGGTATTTTTGTGTTTTTATTGCAGGTATACCATTTTTAAACATTTAGAGCAAAAATGACAAAAGGAGCAAAATTTGGAGCAAAACAACCAATTTTGGGGTTTGGCGCATGATGCGCCAAAATCCATAGCGTTGGCGCATGATGTGTTATGTGTGAATTTTTTAAATTAAGGCGATTTGAGACAAATTTTGTGCTAATTTTCAAAGAGACATTTATTTTAAACACCCCATGGAGTGATTCAATGCATATAGACACTTTGGAAGGTTCTAATTTAAAAGGATTTGACTCTTAGATCAAAGAGGCACATCTTTTGAATTCAAAGGTTTGAATTCTAAATTTTGGAGGGAAATTGAAACTCTATTCAGAGGAGGCAGCCCAAAATAACATAGAGTTGAAGAACTTCTAAAGGGGGGAGAAAAAATATAGGTGGTGTGGGAACTAAGAAGGAGAGATAGAGAGAGAAAGTCAAGGGCTTGGAAATTGTCTTCTAGGGTTATAAGAGGAGAGCGAAGGAGAGAGGTTTATTCTTCATTACACTTCTAAGAGAGAATTGAGAGTGCTTGTAGAGAGAGAAAGGCT